CAGTTCTTAACCATCGCGCCACTCGGCCGGCCCTAACATATTTTTTTAAATTATTTTTAATATATCCCACGTTTTCTTATGTTTCTAATTATGAGTGATTATTTATTAGGTGACATATCTTTGGATAATTCATATTTCTTGAATAAATAAGAGGGAGTACTCAAAACACATGGGCAATACAATACTCTCAATTATTTCTGTAAACACAACGTATTTCCCAAACCAGAAAAACAGAGATCATTTCTAGAAATTCCATGAATTAATTGAAGCATGGCTGTAATTAGGAATGTTTACGTGTGTGTGTGTGTGTGTGTGTGTGTGTGTGTGTGTGTTAAACAAGCATCTTTTTATTCATTTCTGTTCTGTTGCTCTTCTTCATGACTAAAGTTCTAAGTTTTCCTTTGGTACCATTTCCCTTCAACCTAAAGAACATACTTTAGCATTTGTTTTAGAGCAGATCTCCTGGTTTCAAATACTCTGAGTTTTGCTCTAACTGAGAATGTTTTTTTTGCCTTCATTTCTGAAGAATATTTCCACAGGTTATAGAATTCTGGGCTTATAGTTATTTTCTTTCATAACTTTAAAGATGATTTTCTACTGTATTCTGGTCTTCATGGATTGTGATAAAAAATATGTGGGCATTCAAATTATTGTCCCCCTATATGTTTGTGACATTTTTCTCTTGCTGCTTCCAGGAGTTCCGTTATTATGTGTCTGAGAATGGTTTCTTAGAATTTATCCACTTTAGTGTTTACTAAGTTTATTGAATATGTAAATAATGTCTTCACTAAATTTGATGAATTTTTAGTTATCCCAATTTTTTTTTTCTACACCAGTCTCTTTGATAACTCTGGTGACAAATGATTAGATAGACCTTTTGATTCTCAAGTCCCTGAGAGACTATTAACTTTTTTCAATCTTTTGCTCTCTGTTACTCATGCAGGATAACTTCTATTCATCTCTTCAAGTTTACTGACTCATTCATTTGTTATCTATATTCTACTATTGAACCCAAGTGAATTTATAATTTCAGATATTGTATTTTTTCAGTTCTAAAATGTTTTATTTATGTATTTATTGTACTTTGTATTTCTCCACTGACAACTTTGATCTTTTACTTCATTTCAAGATTGTTTACCTTTACGTCAGGGAATGTGGCTGTAATGGATGTTTTAAAATCATTTTTTAATAATTCTAACATTTGGATAATTTCAAGGTTAACCATAGTTTCTTTTCTCTTGAGAATTAGTCATATTTTCCTAGTCTTTGTATGTCAAGTAATTTGGGATTGTAGCCTTCTTCTTGTTGATATCTATTTTAAACATTAATTTCTTGTACATCTTGGATGTCCCAACTAATCATTTGTCAATAAATTTTTTTATGGTGGAATTTGTTGAATCTTCAATTTTAATGCAAATTCATCCTTTTTTAAAAATTTTATTTTTTAGCCTTATAGTTTGTTTTGAGGTCCATTTTAGAAGGAAATCATCACAGCAAAGGCACAAAATTATTGTCCCATACTTTCCTCTATTAACTTTGGGATTTTATCTGTCACACTTAGGTCTTTATGCATCTGGAGATCACCTGAGTGGCAAGGATCCAGCATTATTTTTTCTGTATTTATTGAGCTAGTTTTTCACCTGCAAGCCTATTCTTTCCTCTTGATTTGTGGAGTCATTTTTGACATTTATCAAGTTCATATAAATAATTTTTTCCCTTGAGTTCTATATATGATATTCCATTTGACAGTTGTTCCTCTCCATAGGAATCTAAGTTGCTGTTTGTTTTGTTTTAACTTATGGGTTTATAACTTAATGTCTGGTAAGACACAGCCACTTTTGGTCTTATTTCTCAAAATTTCAAAATTAACCTGGCGATTCATAGACTTTTATTCTTCCAAATGTATTTTTAAAATAAACTTGTTAGTTTCTCAAAAAACCTTGTCATATGTATTTTGAAATATTTTTGTTGAAAATTTCTACTGATACTTTATTTGAAATTACATTGAATTTGTAGCCTAAATTTGGAAAAAAATTGGCATTTTTATCTTATTAAGTCAGCTCATTCATAAATATGGCAAATCTATTTATTCAGGTCTTCTTATTTGTTTTACTATTGAGTTTCACAATTTTGTTCATAAATGTCTTTTATATTCTTTGTTAAAGTTAATTCTTAGATACTTTTTTTATTAGTCAGGGTTCAGCTTGTAGGAATTGCTTACACTATTGATTATGTAAGCTAGCTAAGGAAGTAAAAAATCTGCAGTGTAGGCTACTGTCAGGAAGGGAAACTGAAATTCATGGGCACAAGTTGAAGCTGCTGTCCACAGGTGACAGAAATTCTTCTCCCAGTCCCAACCCCTCTTTCCTCAGCCTGGTTTTCAGGCCTTCAAACTCATTGAATCAGGTCTGCCCAGCTTATCAAGGATAATATCCTAACTTAAAGTCAATTGATTTTGGACTTTTTTCACATCTGTAAACTCACAACAATGTCTAGTTTAGTATTTGAATAAATAACTGGAGACTGTAGTCTAGCCAAATGATACATTGACAAAACCATTACAATACAGTTTTGGTTGCTAATTTAAGTTGTATCCTATTTTTTACTTGATTATTATTAATGTAGAGGTGCTATATTGATTTCTGTAAGATGATATTGTGTGTGAATTATTTTCTTGTATTTGTTTTAATAGTTGGTTTGTGGATTCAGTTGACATTCTACATTAATGATAATATCATCTGAAAATAATTCCATTTGTCATATTATCTGCAAATAATTCTAGTTATTACAAGCATTCTTTTTTTTCTTTTTCTTATAACATTGGTGAGTACACCCAGCGATATCTTAAATGGCAAAGATATCAAGTGTCTCTGACATTAATGGGCTATGTCTAAATTTCCACCATAAACAGGATGTTTGCTTTAGTTATGGTATAAATCCTTTATCATATTAAGGATACTTCCTTCTATTTCCAGTTTTCTGAGAGTTATTTTCTTTTATTATGAATAGATTTTAAACTTTATAAAATATTGGGTTGTCAGAAAAGTCATTTTGTTGCATTTTTGCAGCAAAAAATATAGAAAAAATACTTCATGACTTTTCTGACAACCCAATACTTTTTCTGTATCCATTGAGAAAATCATGATTCAGCTCATTAGTATAATTTACACTTATAGATTTGTTAATATTCAGCCACACTTGTTTTTCGGCAATAGACCATAGCTTATTATAATGTATTATATTTTTACTATGCTATTTCAGTTGGTTAGCAAGTATTTTAAAAAATAATTTTTGTCTATGTTCATATGTAAAATGGACTTATAATTTGCTTTTCTTTTCTAGACTTATTTAATTTTGAAATTAAATTACTCTATCTTCGTAAAAAGTTTCAGGAAACTCTTTCTCTCCTCTCTGTAAATTCCTTTTTTTTTTTTTTTGGTGGTGGGGGGAAGAGGGAACAGCATTGGGGAATTGGGGAATTGGGAAGAACAGACAAGTTGCTGTCCTTTAGTTCTTCAGTCTAGTTGTGGAGGACACTGCTTCACTGGCCCATGCTGGTATTGTGATCATTGTGCTCTTTCTGGCTGAGGCAGATGGGTCGCTGGCCATTGGATGGCCACTCACGGCATCTCACTGCAGCCCATTGCAGCCCTGCTGCATCTTACGCCATTGCCGGCGACTCACAGCAGCCCAGCTCCAGGTCGAGTTGTTGTTCACCATCTTAGCTGTAGAGGGCACAGCGTCACTGGCCCATGTGGGATCCAAACCAGCAGCCCTGCTGCTCAGAGCTCGTGCTCCCAAGCCAACTCTTAACCAATGAGCCACTCGGCCAGCCCTGGAACTACTTTTTTTTTTTTTTAAGATTTTATTGGGGAATTGGGGAAGGGACTAGCGCTGGGGAATTGGGAGAAGGGGAACAGACAAGTTGCTGTCCTTTTGTTCATCAGTCTAGTTGTGGAGGACTTCGCTTCACTGGCCCATGTTGATATTGTGATCATTGTGCTCTTCCCAAGCAAGGCAGATCAGTCTCTGGCCTCTGGACGGCTGCTCACGGCGGCTCTTGGCAGCTCACAGCCCTAATGTGGAATCCGAACCAGGGCCTTGCTGCTCAGAGCTGGTGTCCCAAGCCAGCTCTTAACCAACGTGCCACTCGACTGGCCCCCTGGAACTACTTTTATTAGATAGGGATTATCTGTTCTTTCAAAGCTGGCAGAATACCCTTATAAAATTTTCTAGGCCAGGGGGTTTTTGTGGGTTAATTTTGTGGTAGCGTACCGTGATAAATAGGAAGGCTTCTTTCTTTTACATTGAATTTTTAATCAATGTTAATTGTATAATTTTACAAAGGGAATAAGATAGCTTTTAGCTTTAGATTAATAACTAAGAGAGTAATCGTTACATTTTATATAATTTTGAGTCAGTCTACATAATAGATTATATAGAAACATGTTCTATGTGGGACTGTACAAAGGTCAGAATGAGTGTGTTTTATCTTAAGTTTTCTTACAATCTCTGTGCTTTTATTCCTTAGGACATACGGGACGGTTATTAAAGTCTCTGTGCTTTACCAGTCTTTCCTTCCTGTTGCTGCATATCATTTTTCATATCACCTTGGCTAGCCTTGAAGCTCAACACCGTATTACACCTGGTTACAACTGTGAGTATTCATTTTTTCATACTATGTATGTGCATAATAAAGCTATGTGTCATAATGCTCATAGAAATCTATTCAATAATTAATTGCATTATAAAACTCATGGCAATTTTTGTCATTTGGCAATTGAATATACTACACGTACCTATAAAGAAACTTTGCCATGGAGAATTAGGTCATATGAGCAACTTAATTAATGAATCTTCAACATATATTAAATATTAGGCCCTTATCTGTATATAAGACATTATAATTGGGCATAAAAAAATCAAGATTTACGTACAGTCTCTGGAGTTTATAGTACAGCTAATGAGAAAAGACATGTACAATTTCTAACATGACAAATAAGGATATAAAAGTTGAACACTATTATACAACAGTGACCTAAATCACATTCTATAGCATAATGAAAGATTTCATATGATTTTATAGGAAAAATGTAATGACACATAAAGTTTCTTTTTCAAATGGGAGTTCTTTGTTTTTATTCAAAGAGAAATAGTATGTCTTATATATGTTATATTTTAAAGTTATGATGATGAAAAGTCAACACATATATGCTTTAGGTAGTATCATCTTTCCAAAATTAGCCTGCCACCAGATAAATTCTACTTCAGTTTTTGTAGGATGTGTGATTGTCATTTGAAAAATCCAGAAGCATTTCAAGTATACTGAATACAATTCACATTGTAAGTTAAACTTCAAGAAACAGAAACCCTGAGATGTTTGAAGTAGACTCTAATAACAGTTTTAAATTATCAGTTTTTCTTTGAAGAACCGATTTGTGCATTTGAAATTTCCTGATCTTTCAGAAGAGCAAGCACAGGTAATTTGAAGTAAACCTACACTTCTCTGTAAAATAAAAAGGGGCTCAGAATTCTCTATGGATCAAAGAGTATTAACATAAATGTAGTGAGAGATTCTGTAGTATAACCATATTCATAAATTATTCAATATCCCTCACTGGGTAACTTTAGAGAGCTAAACTTCACAGAGCTAATGTTAGGATCCATTTTGTCATTTTATTGAGTCCAGAGTTCCTAGGATAGTAATGCCTATCAAAATTATTTTTAATTTGAGATTTATGACTTAAGGTCTGGTTATTGTTTTTTAAATTGAGATATAATTCATATACTATAAAATTAACCCACTTCAGGAATTTAATTCAGTGGTTTTTAGGTTGTGTAATCATCACAACTATCTAATTCCAGAACGGATTCGTCACTCCAAAAAGAAACCCTGTGCCCATGAGCAGTTATACCCCATTCCCTCTCCACCCTTTCCTAGGCAACCACTAATTTACTTTCTGCCTTCGTTAGATTTACCTATTCTGGACATTTCATCTAAATAGAATTATACAATATGTGAACTTTTATGTATGGCTTCTTTCTCTTACCATGCTTTCAAGAATCATCCATGTTGTAGCATCTAGCAATGCTTCATTTCTTTTCATGGCTGAAGAGGATTCCATTATTAAGATGTGGTTTAATGTTTGGTAGAAGTCACTTTATTATTAAAAACTTAATAAAATACAATGTTAAAATAATGGAATTTATGTTATAATGATAAGGAGTATTACATTTAACCAGGTTCAAGTCTTTTTGGACTTTATAGAAATGATATCAGTGATATTTTGTAGTGCTTCTCAAACAAAAATCCTTTGGATATTTCATTTTCTTTTCTTTTTTTTTTAAGATTTTACTGGGAAATTGGGGGAGGGGAACAGCATTGGGGAATCGGGGAAGGGGAACAGACAAGTTGCTGTCCTTTTGTTCTTCAGTCTAGTTGTGGAGGACG